CATCATCTGAAAGCTGAATAAATAATCTTTCCATTGATGTATGGTTTGTTAGGATAGGACAATATTTGGCTGAGATACAACTATTTGAAAATCTGGAATCTGAGGGTGCAAAAAAATCTAAATATTGAGAAAATCATCTTTAAAGTTGTTCAAATGAAGTTCTTAGCAATGCATATTACTAATCAAACATTAAGTTTTGATATATTTACGGTAGGAGATTTACAAAATATCTTCATGGAACATGATCTTTACTTAATATCCTAATGATTTTTGGCATAAAAGAGAAATGTATAATTGTGACCCATACAATGTATTGTTGGCTATTGCTACAAATATCCCCCAGCGACTCAACACTGCTTCTGTGCTGCAGGCTCACATATAAGATATATCTTTTAATGTGGTAAAATATATATATTTTAATAATAAGTGATGGGGCGTGGCTTGTGGGCGTGGTCAGGTTTTCCTTCTTTTGTCTCTAGCTGATCACATGCTTGATAAATGAACTATAGTGTCCTGCACCCACTAGTAAAAAAAATATCAAATGATATCTGGCGTCTGAATGATTTTTGGTTTGACTGTATATCAGTGTTTAACGTGGAGTTTTTGAGGAGTTGAATGCAGAATATTAAGGAGAGTTATGTTAAGAATGTTAAGGAGTTTGTAACCCGTGTTCAGGTTTCTGCTGAAGGATGGGCAGCTGTGGCTTTGCGCTCCGCAGGCCAAGCAGATCTGGAAGTGTCTGGCGGAGAACGCCGTGTTTCTGTGCGACCGCGAGGCCTGCTTTAAGTGGTACTCCAAGCTCATGGGTGACGAGCCGGATCTGGACCCCGACATCAACAAGGACTTTTTTGAGAGCAACGTGCTGCAGCTGGACCCCACGCTACTCACGGAGAACGGCATGAAGTGCTTCGAGCGCTTCTTCAAAGCTGTGAACTGCAGAGAGGGCAAGCTGGTGGCCAAACGCAGGGCGTACATGATGGACGACCTGGAGCTGATCGGGCTCGACTACCTCTGGAGGGTAACACCTCTGAATTAATTAAAGTGTGTGTGTGCGTCTTTTCAGTTCAGACGAGCTGCCAGTGTCCACGTGAGCGTCATGCACTCGGATCATTTGTGACCCGTGCTGGCAAAATGAGTCGGAATGTGCATGGTCTGATTTTGAGCTACAGGCAAAAAAAAAAAAGAAAAATGTCTATTTTTGAGGTTTTCACAAAAATGAGTTCATTAAGGTCTCGTCTAGCGATCCCTATGCTCCAAATAATATTTTTAGATGTTTAGTTACCTTTATTTGTACGTTTGCTTGATTTCTCGCGCTGACTGTCATCCGAAGATCCCAATAAATATACACAGAATTACAGTATTTAAGTATTCACGCAGACATAATCGGTTATGTCTTAAGTGAACGTTTGTGGAACTGTTGGGGAAAACATCTGATGTGTAACATTATATTAGATCCGTGCATACAGTAGGACTTAATATATAGGCCGTCTGTCTCATTAATGTTAATCTAATCTGCTCTTGATTGAACTGCTTTTGTAGTTTTAATAATGAACTTATCTGTAATGAACAGACTAAAGGGATTTTTACATTTGATTATTAGTTTTTCTTACTTGAATGCTTTTGTTTATGTAAAGTGAAAAAGTTAATGCATTATATGTTCAGCTGTTTTGCTTTTTGCATCTGTTCTTATTTATAATAAAGATAAAATAAAAAATAGCTATATTGTGAAAAAATTGGAGGAAAAGATGCAACGTTGCAGGTGCTTTGGAACCTTCAGAAAACTTTAACTCTATTTTTCTCAGAATTGACTCTATCGACTTCAAACGTGTGGCTCAGTCATTATTCCTCCGATTCCAACAAATCATGCATCAGTCTCAAAAAAAAAAATAACTCATTTTTGAACATTTGCTCCTTGTGATTAATTTTGCCAGCACAAGTCACATTTTTATCTCCTAACAGTCATCACTGGCATATTGGCGTATTATCAACGTGTCTAATTGTAATGTTTTCTCGTATTTTAATTTAAAACTGTGATTTAAGTACATTCAAATGAATTAATAAAATATCGCCCAGCCTTAAATCCACTAAAGCGGCTGTCTGCCACTACCTGGTTTTCAGTCATTAGCTGGTTTGTAGAGTCTGGTTGTGAATAACTGAATTCACAGTGACACCGTATTTAGCCGCAATGTGAACGCTGCACATCAAGATCATGTTATTCAGTAAATTCATCTGGGTTCTTCTCCACAGCTCGTGATTCAAGGCAGTGATGACATCGCCACTCGAGCGATAGACCTGCTGAAGGAAATATACACCAACCTCGGACCAAAGCTACAGGTGAATCAGGTGAGCTGGTGTTCCTCGCCCGACCGCCAGCCGCTAACACGCCGTTAAATCACGTCTGATCCGGTGCTGTCGCCGTTTACAGGTCGAGATCCATGAGGACTTCATCCAGTCGTGCTTCGACCGGCTCAAGGCTTCGTACGACACGCTGTGTGTGCTGGACGGAGATAAGGACAGCATTAACTGCGCCAGACAGGAGGCCATACGCATGGTGCGGGTTCTGACGGTGCTCCGAGAGTACATCACCGAGTGTGACAGCGACTACCATGAGGAGAGGACCATCCTGCCCATGTCCAGGTGCCTGCTGCACTTATACCAGACCTTCTGTGGTTCTGCTGGCCGTGGGATCGATTCCCGGGGCACAGCTTTCTGATGCAGTGGAGTCAGCGTGAAGAGTTAGAAGTTGAGACGGAAGTAGAGGCAGATCTTTTGTTCTGTATTGTGACGCATCTGAATGTTACAGATTATCAGAGCGTGAGTTTGCAGGGGCGGGGTTTATGAGAACGGAATGATCCACTGGAAGATCCAGTTATTATGTTTTAATTAAACAAGATCAAAACGTTTTTTAAAAATGAAACATGCACTGATGAATTCTTCACCATAAACCAGTCATAAGGGTAAATTTTTCTAAATTGAGATTAATGCATCATCTGAAAGATGAATAAATAAGCTTTCAATTGATGTATGGTTTGTTAGGAGAGGACAATATTTGGCTGAGATACAACTATTTGAAAATCTGGAATCTGAGGGTGCAAAAAAATCTAAATATTGAGAAAATCATCTTTAAAGTTGTCCAAATGAAGTTCTTAGCAATGCATATTACTAATCAAACATTAAGTTTTGATATATTTACGGTAGGATATTTACAAAATATCTTCATGGAACATGATCTTTACTTAATATCCTAATGATTTTTGGCATAAAAGAGAAATGTATAATTGTGACCCATACAATGTATTTTTGGCTATTGCTACAAAAGACTGCTTTTGTGCTCCAGGCTCACATATGATCTATAACGTGCATTTAGAAAATAAATGAGGTGAATTTATACTTGAAAGTCTGTCAAATGAACACATGCAGTAGGAAGCCAAACAAAGGTCTGAACTGCTCTCTGGTGTTGTCTGTGTCTGCGCTCCAGGGCGTTCCGTGGGAAGCACATCACTCTGGTGGTGAGGTTTCCCAATCAGGGCCGTCAGGTGGAGGACTTGGACATCTGGTCCCACACCAACGACACCATCGGCTCGGTCCGCCGCTGCATCCTCTCTCGCATCAAAGCCAACAGCACACACACTAAAGTAGAGCTGTTCATCGGAGGAGAGATCGTGGACCCCGCTGAGGACCGCCGGCTGATTGGACAGCTCAACCTCAAAGATAAAACTGTGAGCTTTACAAATGTCTGTGTGTGTGTGTATATCTATATTTGTCCAGAGATGAGCTACTAAAAGACTGGACGTTCTCTTCCTGTAGCTCATCACAGCGAAGCTCACGCAGGTCAGCAACAACATGCCCTCCAGCCCCGACAGCTCGTCCGACTCGTCCACCGGCTCGCCCGGGAACCACACAAACCAGTACAGCGACGGGCCGAACCCCGAGGTGGAGAGCTGCCTGCCAGGAGTGGTGAGAGCCATGCTTGTGCTTCATATGATAACCTCAGGTCTGAATGAGCCATGCATCTTATAAAATTAATCGTCACGTGAAAGATCACGTTGATGTTTGAATCGTGTTCGCGATCTTTAACGATCTGTTTAAGTGCTTTGTCATGTTAATGGTGACACCTCTCTTGCATGTTAGCTTAGCACAAATATTATACCTAGCAGTTACTTGCTGATCGCAAGTGTAGCCAAACACTGGAGCGCTTAGAATAGAGCAGAATCAGGTCCTCGCAGATGGAAAAAAAGAAAAGATGCGCACACAGGAATCGATGGGCGGAATCGAAATTAATTTTACAAAAAGTATCCGATTCCTGACCTTAAGTATCTGATTCTGGAATTGGAATCGGTGTTCGATACCCAACCCGAGTTATTAGAGATGATTTAATCAGTATAATGTGGGATATTTTATTGTATGTGCACAGTTCCTCTGTAGGTTGCCTCACTGAAAGCTTCGAGTTCATAAACCTATAAATCTTTTAATACACTGTTAGATCTTTATTTTAATTTTGAGATTTTTTAACTCATATTGTACATGTAAAACAATTGATATTAGTTATTAGTGTTTTATTTGGCATTGATTTTAACAAAATCCTGTGGAATATCAGTCATTTATTGGTATCGGCCAGGATTTAAATTTCTGGTCTGACGCACAGAATAGTCTGTCAGCACGTCTTGTTGAGGTGACTGTTTTTCTTCTCTCCTCAGATCATGTCGCTGCATCTGCGCTACATCTCCTTCTTGTGGCAGATCGCTGATCTGGGCTGCACCCTGAGCATGCCGTTACTGCGAGACGGAGCTCGAGTGCTCATGAAGCTCATGCCTCCAGGTCGCCGCAAACATCGTGATGACTTGCTCTGTAGCATGCGGTCTGGCTGTGAGGGTCACTGAAATGTGCTGCTTGTGTTCACAGATAACACTACAGTGGAGAACCTGCGAGCGATCTGTTTGGATCACGCTAAGCTGGGAGAGAACAGTCTGAGTCCCACTCTGGATTCACGCTTCTTTGGCCCGTCCGCTTCACAAGTGCTCTACCTCACCGAGGTATCTTCATACTGCTGTAAAACCATCGTTCGTGTGCTCCGTCACGCTTCTGCACCTGCAATTGTAATCATCGCAGTAGCTGTTGAACTTGACAGCAAATCAGCTCAGAAATCTTTGGTTTGTGTGGTGTCAGGTGGTGTATGCGCTGCTGATGCCAGCCAGTGGAACGCTGGGAGACGACGCCAGTGACTTCCAATACAACTTCCTGAAGAGCGGCGGTCTGCCTCTGGTTCTGGGCATGCTCACCAGGAACAACTTCCTTCCCAGTGCGGACATGGAGACGAGACGCGGCGCCTACCTGAACGCCCTGAAGATCAGCAAGCTCCTGCTCACTGCCATCGGGTTCGGACACGTGAAGGCCGTGGCGGAGGCCTGCCAGCCGCTGGTGGAGGGAACCAACCCCGCGTCACCAGTGCGCCACTCTTCTCACGTTAGGACTTGAGACTTGATTGTTTTCCTCACGGTGATGTGACTTTGTGTTTGTCTTCCAGATAAATCAGGCGACCCATGAACAGGCTCTGGTGCTGCAGAACGCTCTCCAGAGCATTCCCAATCCCGCCTCCGAGTGCATGCTGCGCAACGTGTCCCTCCGGCTGGCCCAGCAGATCTCCGACGAGGTTCCTGATCTTTACTGCTTTACAGTCGTAGTGTGAAGCCTACTTCACTCTGATCTTCATGTCTTTGTTGCTTTCCTTCATTGTGCAGAACTTCTTCCAGGCCTCAAAGTACATCCCGGATATCTGTGTGATCCGCGCCGTGCAGAAGATCGTCTGGGCTTCCGGTTGTGGGATGGTGCATCTGGTCTTCAGCTCGAACGAAGAGATCAGCCAGATCTACGAGAAGGCATGTTCATGGTTCATCAGCGCTCGCCACCAGTGTTTTTATCCCTCGTTTAAGCGTGCATCTGTCGTTCTGCAGACTAATGCGGGTAACGAGCCGGACGCTGAAGACGAGCAGGTGTGCTGTGAGGCACTGGAGGTCATGACCTTGTGTTTCGCTGTGCTCCCTACGGCCCTCGACACGCTCAGCAAAGAGAAAGCCTGGCAGACCTTCATCATCGACCTGCTGCTGCACTGCCAGAGCAAGTATGTACTTACAGGAGCAGTGCACTTCTGTTGAGATGCTCTCCACTCAGTTTAGAAATTTAATATAAAACGCCTTTACAGTAAATGTATTTACAGTGGACGCCTAATAGACCAGTGAGCTGCAGAAATGCACCGCTGAAGGTATTTAGTGTAAGTGTATGTGTTTTAGCTATCATCTGAAGCTCTGCTGTATTAGTGATGTACTTCCTGTAGGTGGATTTTGCTCCATATGAACAGTTTCGAACAACCCTTCCAGGTGCCCTTGTGCCGATACCAAGCACAAATAAGAGTTTACTAGTTTCACATGATCAGTTAATGTTAGGGATGCAGCAGAGAAAGAGAACAAAGGCAGAAATTCTTGTCTTAAGATGCGCTGATAGACACCTGGTTAAAAGTCTAAAGTGATTGAAATTTAGTTAGTACACATTAAAATCCCAAACATCAGAAGTGACGGATCATTGGATTATTTGTGCACTAATGAAGAGCGTTTACCTGCACTTGTGCTCGACTGCATTTCAGATAAACCAGCTGACGTGAAGGGCTTTGCCTGCGTATTAAACACAGACCTGTGGTTTGATCCTAATGGAACCAGATGGTTTTATATTGCTTGTTTATAGGCCTGTTTGCTTTTAGTGCATCAATGAGCCTCATTAACAAAGCATCTGAAAAACATCCTTTATAAATTGAATCAAATGCAACTTTTATAGAAGTGCATTCTGCTCCTGTTTCATGAACAAGAGGCGTTTTAAACTCCTGCATCTGGTCTCAGGTTGCGAGGCGCTTACAGAGTGGGAGTATCTGCCTCCGGTGGGGCCGCGGCCGACCAAAGGCTTCGTGGGTCTGAAGAACGCAGGAGCCACGTGCTACATGAACTCCGTGATCCAGCAGCTTTACATGATCCCGCCCATCCGCAACGCCATCCTGGCCATCGAAGGCACCGGCAGCGACATCGACGACGACGACACATCCGGAGACGAAAAGCAGGACAACGAGGTAAAAAGTGCACAGCCGTGTTACTCGAGCGTACTGAAGTCAGTTCGAATGCGTCTGAATGTGCATCATTGTGCTGCAGAGTAATGTGGACCCCAGGGATGATGTGTTCAGTTATCATCAGCAGTTTGATGACAAGCCCTCTCTCAATAAGGCCGAGGACCGTCAGGAGTACAACATCGGAGTGCTGCGGCGTCTGCAGGTCATCTTCGGTCACCTCGCCGCGTCCCGTCTGCAGTACTACGTGCCCAGAGGCTTCTGGAAACAGTTCAGGTACAGTCAGCCGTGAATGCATGTGGAGCACTGTGTGTACATCAGCCACAGCGAATCAGATTTTGTGTATAATTCGTGGGGAAGTTTAAATCCTTTTTCGTTTCCAAGCTTAATATCCAGAAAACACTGATGTTTTCGAGAGTTGTTTGAAGCACTTGACATAAGGGCTGGGCGATATGGCAAAAAATCTACATTTTTAACTAGTCTACTTGAAAATGTAGCTACAACATTATTCAAGAAACTTTATTTTTTATTTTTTATAATCCTCTAGTAGAAATGTATTTTCCGAATGCAACACACACATTGTAAATGTTAAATATCTTTTTGCAGAAAAGATGCATGAACTACAACTACATCTTGTACAAACTTGTCTTATACATATTATGTGTTCAGAAATAATACGAGGAAAATGCTTTAAAAAAAAAAAAATAATAATTCTCAGAAGTCAAGGTAATTCAGAATGACTGAAGGTAAAACAGCAGTAGATTATTATTAACTATAAAAGTTCTGTAAAAAATAATCAACATCAGCTTTAGTAGTAGTTCAATACAGGATTTTATTGGATTGCGCTGTTTTTCCATTGTTTTTTCTGTGTAAACATGGGCGCGTTTGACTGTTTAATTTAATTTATGTAAATATTAATATTAATTAATAATTATTCATGCATTTAGCAGACGCTTTTATCCAAAGCAACTTACAGTGCATTCAGGTTGTAACTTGCTATCATGCTTGCAACATGCTAGTCATGCTAGAATCATGTTATCAACATCTATCTAATCTATCTAAATTTTCAAACTTCAGGCTTTTACAACTGCTTTAAACTTTCAGGCTAGGCTTTCTCAAGCCAACCTAAAGTTTGTCTTGACCTTTTTTTATCTAGTTTATTTTTGTCATTCTGTCTGGTGATGCTAGTGGCTCAGAAGTGACACCGTGCACTTTTAATCCATGTGAAGTAAGACGACTGCGTGTGAAACGTTCCCGCAGGTTATGGGGGGAGCCGGTGAATCTGAGAGAGCAGCACGACGCGCTGGAGTTCTTCAATTCCCTGGTGGACAGTCTGGATGAAGCGCTGAAAGCCCTCGGCCACCCCAGCATGCTCAGCAGGATCTTGGGCGGCTCGTTTGCAGACCAGAAGATCTGTCAGGGTTGTCCTCACAGGTAAGACAAAGACGTGTCAATCATTCTGAGGATGTTGATTTGTTCCATCTGTATTAGTCTTGCTGCGATAAACGGTGTTAAGCCGCAACACCGGTTACGTCACTTGCTCACCGCAGCACCGTCGTCTTGATTTTTTTTATTGTAATAAAATGATTTAGTTCAGTTAAAGAACAGACACTACAATGAAAAACTGAACGCAGGGTGCCGAGCAACAGTCGCATCACAGATCAGAAGCAGGAGTCAGATTTCATTCCTCATGTGAGGAGAGACAGACCAGACCGTTGCGGGAGATTTAGTTACGAAACGAAATGAAAAGGAACCTGTTTGGAGATATTTTTGATTTTGAAAAGCCTGTTGACTTTTGCAGTTTATTTTTTATTTTTTTTACATCTAGGTGTATGCCGTGCCTCCAACTTTCTTATTCGTTTTGCTAATAAACATTCTATGTTTCTTATCTATTTGGTCCCACAGTGTTTGCTGATTTTCAGTTTTTTATTTAAACTTGGTGTAGGTTATTTTATATTAGGCCTATAGCATGGTGTATTTATATTCATTCTGTTAATAAAAGCTCTGTTTAATATAAGTGAGTTGGTCGTTGTACTGTTTTGTTGTTGTCCATTCAAGAAATTGATGCTGAATTGCTGCTAACTTAAAAGTGAAAGTAAAATGCACAAAAGCGAAGGAAAGCGAGGAAAACCCCAACAAACCCCAGTGAGACCGGTATTACCGGTGTTGTCACACATTGAATAACTAGTGGGAAAATGTAATCACCGTCACAACCCTAATCTGTATACGTGTGTTGTGTGTGTCTTCATAGGTATGAGTGTGAGGAGTCCTTCACAACACTGAATGTAGACATCAGGAACCACCAAAACCTCCTTGACTCTTTAGAACAGTACGTCAAGGGGGATCTCCTCGAAGGAGCCAATGCGTACCACTGTGAGAAGTGCAACAAAAAGGTGAGACGTGTTCCCTAAATCCGGTCTGATTGAAGTTGTGCAGACTGGTGAGCTTTGCTCTGGTTTGCCGTCAGGTGGACACGGTGAAGCGTCTCCTTATAAAGAAGCTCCCGCCGGTGTTAGCCATCCAGCTGAAGCGCTTCGATTACGACTGGGAGCGCGAGTGTGCGATTAAGTTCAACGATTACTTCGAGTTCCCTCGTGAGCTGGACATGGAGCCCTACACGGTGGCAGGCGTGGCGAAGCTGGAGGGTGACGAGGTTCCGCCGGAGAGCCAGGTCATCGCTGAGAACTCTGATCCGAACAGCAGCTCCCGCTATCGGCTCGTGGGTGTGCTGGTGCACTCGGGGCAGGCCAGCGGCGGACACTACTACTCTTATATCATGCAGCGGCACTGTAATGGCAGCGACGGACAGAAGGACCGCTGGTACAAGTTTGACGACGGCGACGTGACGGAGTGTAAGATGGACGATGACGAGGAGATGAAGAACCAGTGCTTCGGTGGAGAGTACATGGGCGAGGTGTTCGACCACATGATGAAGCGCATGTCGTACCGGCGGCAGAAGCGCTGGTGGAATGCCTACATTCTGTTCTACGAGCGCATGGACGCAGCAGGGGGCGACGGAGAGCTGCTGAAGTACATCTCCGAGCTGACGCTCACGCCCCGGACGAACCAGCCTAAAATGCCCTTGGCCATCGAGGCCAGCGTTCGCAAACAGAACGTGCAGTTCATGCACAGCCGCATGCAGTACAGCCTCGAGTACTTTCAGTTCGTTAAGAAACTGCTGACCTGCAACAGCGTCTACCTGAACCCTCCTCCAGGTGAGTGGTGTTTTCAAGATGCATTAAATCTGTCGCCGGACGGTCCAGCAATCCGTAAACACCTTCTGTTGGTGTTTTGTTAAGATTCACCTCTTTTCTGGTCTTTCTAGGTCAAGATCATCTTTTACCAGAAGCTGAAGAAATAGCGATGATTAGTATACAGCTTGCAGCTAGATTTCTGTTTAGCACCGGATTCCACACAAAGAAAGTCGTCCGAGGCCCTGCTAGTGACTGGTGAGCGTTTACTGTGTGTCTCTGCTTCTGATGCACTGATGAAAGTGTGGACATATCTACTCATTTTAGAATAATAGTAAAGTAAGGGAATTACTAAATGACTGAAGTTGCCACCCTTTGACTTATTCCAGCTCACATTGGTCATTTTCTCAACCAACATTAAACTGGCACATTTGTGTTGATTGACTCCTCTCCTCATCATAGACTGGACTTGTTTTTCTTTCAGGTATGATGCTTTGTGCATTCTGTTGCGTCACAGCAAGAACGTCCGCAGCTGGTTTGCACACAGCGTCCTCTTTGCCTTCCCCACGCGCTTCTCGGAGTTCTTGCTGGAGTGTCCGAGTGCGGAGGTGCGCGGAGCTTTTGCCAAGCTCATCGTGTTCATCGCACACTTTTCCCTGCAGGACGGACCCTGCCCTGCTCCGGTCACCTCGCCCGGCTCGTCCACACAGGTGAGGGAGAGAAATAACTGCAGTATTAACCTCAAAGATCTGACGGTGTCCCATATTCCTCAACCAGTAATTCGGCTGATCCTCATTGTGCTTGTCATAATTTTAGACTGAAAGCATTTAGGGCACTGCTTGCAGGGGAAATGGAGTTACTGGCCTTTTAAAGGTGACCTATTATGCCCCTTTTTACAAGATGTAAAATAAGTCTCTGATGTCCCCAGAGTGTGTATGTGAAGTTTTAGCTCAAAATACCCCACAGAGAATTTTTTATAGCTTGTTGAAATTGGCACTTTTAGAGTATGAGCCAAAACGCGCCGTTTTTGTGTTTGTCCCTTTAAATGCAAATGAGCTGGCCCTTTTCAGAAGTGGGCGGAGCTTCAAGAGCTCATGCTCCGGCAAAACAGGACAATCTCACGCAATCTGATTGTACTGTGCAGTAAATGCGCGTTTATGAATTACACAGACGGGGAGCACGGCGCGATAAAAATAACCCCATAGCTGGTCTCATGGTGCCTTCATGTGCTATCACATTATGAGCTCGACAAATTCAAGCAGTCGACTTCACATTGCTTTCATATGCAATTTTTAACTACCACATTCCTATTTACGATCATTCTGGTAGCACGTGAAGGCAGCATCAGTGAAAACAGGCAGAGACAATGGTAGCTTTAGCAACATTAGCCTTACAGAGAGCAAAGAAGCTCTTTTGGAAAAAACAAAATATGACGCGTGTTGCTCACGTTGTCTGGAGCTGATGTTCGCGCACGAAGCGTTGGTATCGATCCCTCTTTCAGAAGCAGTCTTTGCACAACTCCAGCGCTGAACTGACCCTCGTTTGTGAGGCAGTCCGGCGTAAAATGATTAGCACAAACATATAGGACTTTCCCTTTTTTTTCCGGGACATTTCCTTCGAAAATGAAATGTAACCACCGTGTCCTCGGCGGTCTATGGAGACTCCTGTGTTCGTTGGTGCATCCCAACACACGACACTTGTAATGCCTCTTTGGCACTGACAGCAGCTACAGCAAGAAAACAGTAATGGTGGACGGCTGCTTCTCACTCAGGGCGGGGCCTATGCTAATAGGCCGGAGAGCATCACAAATGGGCGGGACTTTCCCAAGTATGACATCATTATAGGGGGCAATCAATCGAGTCTGTTTCTTTGCCTAATCAATATAGAATTTGGAGGAGTTGGTCTATTTCTTGAATAATAGGTAATACAATAAGATTTTTAATAAGCATTAGGCCAAGAGTTTAGTTGCTAATATGCTGAGAAATTGACAATTGATAGCTAAAATGCTAACATCTACATTAATGCAACTGGCTGATCAGACACTTTTATCCACAGCAACTTGCATTGTTATCTGTTCATACATTTCGCTCTACTAGATCAACACATGTTTGTTTGTTTGATTGTTCAGGAGCCAGATGATCAGGAAGCACCCGATGAACACGACTCGTCGCCACCGGAGGACACTGCGCTCTATCCTCATTCTCCAGGAACGCAGTATCAGCAGGTGACGTCCACACGCTAGTCCTTTTTACACGAGTTAGACGGCTGACAACTAGCTGTGCTTATATCAAACACTGTGCCATGTGCACAGCACAGAATGTCTTGCACCGTTTCTTGTAGGTGTGTAATATTAGAAGAGAAAAGGAACGTAGACGTATTTCCTGCTGCTCTTTCCTCCTCTTTCACACTCTTGCTCTCTGCAAACCCGATGACTGTTCTGCCAGATTGTGGTTTAATGCCACATCAGTTCAAACCAATTTGAAGCATGTTGTAATGACTGCCACGAGTCTCATGATCTTAACTTATTATTAAATCATTACCAGCCACTCTCATAGATCTCACTCGTGTTGTGTTCCCTCTCTCTGCAGCCTAATAACCAGCCTCACGGGCAGCCCTACACCGGCCCGGCCGCCCAGCACATGAATAACCCGCAGCAAGCCCCGCAGAGGCCTCAAGAAAGCTGGGAGGGAACCGACGAGGTCCCTCCAGTCCAGACTACAGAGTAGCAGTCGCCCACACCTTGCCTCGAGACCGCATCCGCTCGTCTCCAGGACCGAGACCAGGCCTTACAAACAGCAGTCTCGTAACGTACTCTATGCCACCCAACTCCTGCAGCACTGACGTCTCTCTTCTCCACACTAGATCTGTCTGATGATGAACCTGGAGCGACGTGAGTGTCCACACTGTCTGCAGACGAGCTGCGTGGGTACAGCTCTTGGAGTGATCTGTCACTGTAGCGTGAGCGTTCAGGAATGGTGATGGTGTATATAGTGTGCAAATATCTAGACCTTTAGACCCCCTCCAGTTCCATCATCTTCATCTAAAAATACCACAGCAGCCGAATGAAGGGAAACCCGAGGCTTCGTCGTCGCCGGGTGTTGCTCGTGTGTGAGGATGAGTTTGCTGCGTCAGCACCGAGGCACACAAACATTACATGCTCATGACTCTCCGTGGGGTTTCTGGAGCAACTCGGCGTCACTCTACTGATTTAGAAAGCATTGAAATCTTTCGGCGCTTCTTATTTGTTTTGCTTTTCTTCATTCATCAGGGCGCCTTCGGCCTGTTAGGAGTGTGCTGTGATCTTCTGTTAGGGTCTTTAACACCACTTTCTCGTCCATCCACTTCAACCTCATTAGCAGCTGGTGGCTGCAGATTTACTCCACAGACTAAAGTCTCTCTGGCACTCGAGTCCATGTTTCATTTGTATTGTCAGTGGGCTGGAAAGTGTAATAACTCATCTTGTTTTGCCACCATTTAATCAAATTTCAGTTGCCCTAGTTCTGAGTCTGCCTCTTGGCTCCTCCCACTTCCTCCGTCCCTGTCCAATGAAAATGCAGCCACGGCTACACTGCTCTGTATCCGGGGAGATTTGCAGGAAGGTCATCGTGCTCCGGGATTCATCAACTCTGCTGGATTTATAAAGTGTGGCTCTTTTGTCTGAATACCAAAATGCCAGCGAAGGAAGTGGGAGCCCACCCTATTCTATTTTGCCGTTTTCTTTGATGGAGGTTATTTTGTTGAATTTGAGAAGAAAGAGTTTGAGCGTTTGAATGAAAAGGCCTTGTCCTAGTGTTGTAATTTTTAAGAGGATATTCACTCTACAGAGTTCTGTGAGCCCTGTTTTTGCCGAGCGTAGTTTACGGTGTGCGGTTGGATTCTGGAGCTGCTTTAGCCATGTGAAGTTTTCACTTGAAGTCTTTCTTTCCCTGCACAGACGTATAATAACAGAAGCACTGCGCCACTGGAAACAACAAATTACACATTTAAATGCAAGTTTTACTTTTTATTAGCTTTCCGATGGTTTCTACAAGAAGGTACATTTTGTAAATACCTAATGCACGCAGAAACACGCTCGTTAAATCATTGTGTGCTGATAGATTTTATTCAGCAGAAGGTTATCCTGAAACATCTGCAGACATCCTGACAAAGACTGAACGGCCCTGAACTAGATCTTGACGGATCGAGTGGGTAGTGAGTGGGGTAAACCATCTTAACTAGCACTACAGGTCGACCTTCTCTCAGGCCATCTGTTAAGAATACTTCTTCTGTGACCGAGAGAATCTCACAAGCTCCATTTTTGTAAATGCTCATTAGAGTGACATTTGCCTTCTGCTTTGTTTTTGCTCTTTCAGGTTTAATTTTGTTTGAATTCTAAAGCTCTTTTAGTGAAACGTGCATGGATAATATTCCTCGGCCTTCGAGCACTGTACAAACCCAGCACACTGTAAAATTATACTTTAAAGGTAAAAAATAAATGGTATTTGAATTACGTGTCTGTCTGATAAACTGACCTACATCTGCTCAAAACATCTGATTCAGTGCTCATGGTTTAAACACTTGAATGCAGCACATCCTTGTTTTTGACCAGAGTAACAGCATCACATTGCAAAGGGTTCATCACTAAGGACGTGTTCTGTGCAATGACTGAACAGCTTGACTCTTTCTTTTGAAGCGGTTATGATCTTCAGACACTCAGGTCTGTTCTGCAGAGACTGATACACATTTCACTCACTGCTGTACTGTTTGCATCCTGTAGCTCAAAATTATGATTCAGAAAATGTGTTTGCGCTTGTAGAACAAATGAACTACACTTGCAGGTGATCTGTGAGGAGATGAACTGCAGCAGTGTTAAATGACCGACGAATGTCAGCTCAACTAGGCCTCATCCGCAGGTGTAAACAGCCCCAGGTGTATGGAAGGCCAAAAGGGCCAAAAACACGTGAATTTTATTGTATTCAACACGTATATGAAGTGTTAAAAATCAGTTTGAACGGGTCAGTCCACTTGTCCAAATACCCACACTTGCGGTCACTTGAGAGCGCGTGCGCGCGACAGGACGTAAGTGCGCAAGACTGTCCCAGGTCTTAAAAACGCCAGAGCGCAGTGCCCTTAACGCACACTAAATCCACACTATCTCGAATACCGCTCCGAAGCACTATTCGAGGCTTAGTGTATCCCATCATGCATCACGTTCTGGAAATAAATCGTGAGACTTTTTGCCGAGATCTCGCGAGAGGTCACGGAAACCTTTCCAATGCAAGTTAAATATCAATATAATAATAAGCTATTACATATAATACATACATACACTGTTTTTACGTTTTATTGGTGCAAAGATGAGTAGTGGTGATATTTATTTTGTACAACATTTGCAACTGCTTTTTATCACTTAATTAGAAGCACCACAAATTAAAATTGTCATGTTATAGGGACGACTGAACAGACATTTAGAAGTTGATTTTAAAATGCAAAGTATTTAAAATTAAAATAAAGCTGTGTAAACGCTTGCATTTTTACAACACTACAAGTGTGTCCCATCAGGTGATGAAGAGTTCGACACACACTCGTGGTCTTCATGCTCACTTGAACACTTGGGCCAAATACAGGAAATACATCATATAAGTAGTCAAGTGGTCAAGTGCAAAGACCACAAGTGTGGGTATTTGGACAAGGCTAGCGTCACTGGCTGCTGAAGACTTGGGTCAAACCATTTCTGTGCGCTAAGAGGGGTGTACCATTCATAGACTAGACTACCACCATTTAACATGCCATAGATCAGCTTATTCAGCCTTTTTATTTTGTACTTTGTGTATAGCCTATAGAAATTACATATTGAATTTTTTTGCAGTTTTATGAATAATTAGATAAAAAATAAAATAGCCTCGTTTTTCTCCACTCATGCCTTTTTGTAAATAAACACATTAGTGGGCATTCTAGCTTTAACAGTGCTCAAACTTAAATTAGCTTTCAAGCGTTAAGCGTGAAATACGCTTATTTAACGTGTTGCAATTCACGTGTTTTTGGCCCCTTTAGCCTTCCACAGCTGTGGCGTCGCTGCCATAGACTGAACGCTCGCTCCTCGAAGTCTCGCGTGAAGAGCGTCACGCGGTGATTCTGTCGTCCAATAAAATGACGCGGCTTCCGCTGCGCTCTTATTTCAGCCTCAGCTTGAGAAAGACGCGCAGCTCGAGTTCCGAGTATCGTCGACGCGGAGTCTAATTCAGACGCTCTGAAGATTATTAAAACCCCGACGTTTCCTTTTAAAGCGACGTTTGCGTTTCCGTGTTTCTCTCCTTTGTTCAAAGTTTCAGGTTCCAGCGGCCGGCGTCGACGGGACTCACAGGCAGCGGAGCGCGAGCGACACACCGGCGAACAAAGAAACCCGTCTGCGCGAGAGATCCGCCTTCTGCAGCCCACAGCGATGAGTCATGTGTCCGGCGACGGTGTGCACGGGCTGGACCAGCAGGTGAGCTGCGCGGGGTTAAGATGGAGGCGCTGCTGTCGACGAGCGGCTGATGGCGGAGCCGCGGCGCGTCTGTTTGTCGCGCGGCTGCGTCCACGGGGTTCCGGGGGTCGAGTCTGGACGCAGAGATCCGGTGTAACGGTATGAGTGTCCGCGTCGACATCGAGCAGCTGGCGCGTGTCTGGCCTGTAACTGAGCTTCTTCTGGCCTTTTGTCTGACCAGCTCTTTTCCACTGCGTTCGCGCTTATATTGTGTATCTGCTGTCGCTACTTCTCTTAGAAGCCGGCTTTATTTAGTTTTGTACGTCGGATGATCCCGCGAACATCGCGATGTAACGTACCGAATCTTCCAAGAGCGTTAACTTCCTGTAACTGCGCGCGCAGCGAGTAAGTCTTGAGTTTAGTTCGCGTGCTGAAGTGCGAGGTGACGTTACTTTAGTGACGCGTGGCGTTGTTTATAATCGCCTAAACCAGCCTGGACGGTTTGAGTGATATCGTGGGTTAAGGTCGGTTATATCGTGAAACACCGAAGGCTGGAGTGAAGTTTGTGATCTCTGCGTCCGCACTGACCCCAGACCAGCTCTTACAGGGGTTTCTGTGCTCCTCACATCAGCTCTAACGAGGTCTCTTCTCTTTCAGCTCGCTGCTCTAGACTTGAGCTCCGCAGATGTTCAAGGAGTCCCTGGAAGTGAGTATCTGTCTCGCTCTTCTTCTGCCTTCAGTTCTGCTCCGGATGAAGGAGAGTTGTGTCTCGTGCTAACTGAGTCTGTCTTCTGCAGGGCGTTACATTCCACCTCATTTAAGGAACAAAGAAGCTTCCAAAAATGGTACTACACTTTTCTTCTTGTCTTGTCTGTGTTAACCCTTGAGCTCCAGCGCCGGGTGTGATGTCTGATTTAGAGCCACGCTGGCTGGGTTTACTTGCACCACTAATGTTTCAGTCGGACTGAATGCATTCTGATTGAATCTTTACATGAACGCTGAATAAAGTGATCTGGTTGATGTGTGCGTTTAGATGTCAGAAGCTTTGACCTGCGCACACTGCACAGATGTGTCCCTGGAGCACAAAACCAGTCATTAGGGTCAGTTTTTCGAAATTGAGATGCATTCATCATCTGAAAGCTGAATAAATAATCTTTCCATTGATGTATGGTTTGTTAGGATAGGACAATATTTGGCTGAGATACAACTATTTGAAAATCTGGAATCTGAGGGTGCAAAAACATCTAAATATTGAGAAAATCATCTTTAAAGTTGTTCAAATGAAGTTCTTAGCAATGCATATTACTAATCAAACATTAAGTTTTGATATATTTACGGTAGGAAATGTACAAAATATCTTCATGGAACATGATCTTTACTTAATATCCTAATGATTTTTGGCATAAAAGAGAAATGTATAATTGTGACCCATACAATGTATTGTTGGCTATTGCTACAAATATCCCCCAGCGACTCAACACTGCTCACATACAGTTTGCTGTGGTTAGTGCACAATAACCATTCTCCTACACGGTTTCTTTATTTATTTTAAACGGCAGAATTAGCTAATATTGATCTATTTCTGGTCATAATTTGGCACCGCTGTGCCGTGCTGCTTATATTTATCAGGCAGTAAAAACGTCTGTCGTCTGTGGCTGAGAATCTGAAACGGGGACTGATGGGACGTCGTCCTGCTCCACTTCACAGACGCTGAGTGAAGAGAGTTTATAATGACGGGACACTCATTTATTCAGCAGGAAGAACAGCTCGTTCCGCGCGTCATTAACACTATATCTGCATCATTGCACATGCGCAGTCCTTCCAGTTTCGGTTTTCAATCTGATCGAGTGTTTACATGCACTCTCGATCGTACTAGAAAAGGAATAAACCACAGCTTTCAATCCGATCTAACTTTCATTCGGATCGATTGAGGCGTTTACACGAAGGCTTTTCAGTCCGATCGAGCCGTCGATCGGATTACTTGGTTGCGTGTAAACCGTGTTTGTGGCGCAGCTTGTCTGCAGGACGTCTAGTCTATCGTTCGCTTCGGTCTAGATGCCAGTGCGCGTCTGTCTCGAACACTTTACACGTGCATGTTGTTCAGTACTCATCCTGACCCAAAATCGAGTGCTTTTCCACCGGCGTTTCTGGATCATTTTATCCCCCCTCCATCTTTTCTCCATTGACAAGTGATCGATATGCTGGCATGCACAAAAACCACTTACAGCAAGCTTGTCTGAACCGTATTGGCCGAGACTCTCAGCACTATAGGTTTGAGATGCTCCGGGACCTTTAGTCTTATCCTTGTGACGAGGCGGTTTGGCCCAGCACCCTCCTGACTATACGTTTGTTCTTTTAGCAGGAGCTTATTCCTCTGCTAGACAGAGCGGTTACTCGGTGGCACCAGGAAGGAGCTGTAAGTTTCTATTGACAGCCTTTAGCTAAAGAGACTTTGAGGGGAAATCCTCAAATATGCATGATTCCACGATTAATTCTCAGCACACACGTGGAATCGTAACGGCTTATTTCAGCCACATTTCTTTCCAATGCCAGATTGAACAAAAGTGCTCTTCAAAGCCTCATTTGCAAAGACCCCACTCAGATAAGGGGGGAAATATTTAGAGTGCATGCTCCCATGTCTGCATTTACTTGAATTTTCAGCATTTTGCAAGCAATTTCAATGTAGTCGGTCAAGTCGAGGACTGGTTGCAGACTACCTAACTAGTGCCGAGAAGTCCATGCCTTACTTGACTAACTGCTTTGCTTTTGTCCATCCGGCCCCAGAATGCTCCGCTCCATGTAACGTTTCTAGCACACGTGTGTTTAATAACCCCGTCCTCTCGCTCTCTCACAGATTCTCCCGGAGGATGGGATAACGGACGCAGCAATGGCTTCGTGAACGGCTGCCATGATGGCCGAGACAACCGCATGAATGGGGGCAACAGTTTCGGTGGCCGCGGCTCCATGCGCAACGACCGCGGAGGAAGAGGAGGCTTCAGAGGTAACACCAGCGGCTCCTACAACCCCATCCAGCCAATGCAGAGCGCAGGCAGGTGTCGTCACCATACGTCTGAGAACGCTTGCGTTGCTGTTTGACTACACGACTTGCACTGCTGCTTTTTGATGTGAATCGTTCTCTCTTTATTAGGATTTGGTTATGAAAACAAAGATGCCAGTGGCTGGAATGCCCCAAAAGACACTGCCTACAACAGCTTTGGCGGCCGCTCTGACCGGGGCAAATCATCTTTCTTCAATGACCGCGGGTCTTCATCCAGGGGGCGGTGAGGCTTGCATGCTTTCTTTAGTTGCTGCTTTGTCTCTTTATCAAATAACTTGTGATGGAAGTCTCTGTAAGTCCTGGGTTTGGCTGAAGCAGTGTTGTTTGGCAGGTATGAGCGTGGAGGTTTTGGCGGCGGTGGGAACAGCCGATGGGGGGAGGACTCCAGAGACGATGAAGACTGGTCCAAACCGTTGCCTCCCAATGAGCGTGTGGAACAGTGAGTGTTGCTGTTTTGACAAAATGCTGCTTCCAAGTTCCTGTGAAGGTGTTCCTACTTCCCCTGTCCCTGAACAAAAACTAGCTATGATGTGTGAAGTAGTTGTAGCAGTGTTTTACTCAAAGATATGAGTGCTTTTAAAATTCTGCAGTGAAGAGCATCAGATTGAAGTAGTTACGACATGGTCGTTCATATAATCTTGTAAATGTGAGCATTGAGTTAACTTGGCGTTTGCGTACGGTTTTTTTAACCGTACGGAGTTTAGCCTGACACTTGTTCCCGTTTTCCTGCAGTGAGCTCTTCTCTGGAAGCAACACAGGGATTAACTTTGAGAAATATGATGACATTCCTGTTGAAGCCACAGGCCAGAACTGTCCACCACATATTGAGAGTGTGAGTCACCTGATCATGATCCGAGTTTAATTGCAAATTATTTGGTTTTTTTTTATCACCGTCTTTGTGTTTTTGTAATACAGTTCCATGATGTAGATATGGGAGAGATCATTATGGGAAATATAGCCCTGACCCGCTACACACGGCCCACTCCTGTCCAGAAGCACGCTATTCCCATCATCAAGACTAAGAGGGACCTGATGGCGTGCGCACAGACGGGTGAGATGTCCGCATGGTTGATCACTTCTTTTCTTCGTCCCTATGTGCGCGTGTATGGTAAATGCTTGATTGACCTTGTCTTTGTGACTGTAACTAGGTTCTGGTAAGACTGCAGCCTTCCTGCTGTGCTATTCCCATCATCAAGACTAAGAGGGACCTGATGGCGTGCGCACAGACAGGTGAGATGTCCGCATGGTTGATCACTTCTTTTCTTCGTCCCTATGTGCGCGTGTATGGTAAATGCTTGATTGACCTTGTCTTTGTGACTGTAACTAGGTTCTGGTAAGACTGCAGCCTTCCTGCTGCCGGTCCTGAGCCAGATATACACTGAAGGACCGGGAGAGGCGCTGCAGGCGGTGAAGAACAGTGCACAGGTAGCACCTCCTGCGTGTTAGTTTGCCAATAAAGAACTGAGGGGCACAACTTGTTTACGCCCCTAGGGCCAGGCTTCGGGCCAATTTCATGTCATAGCTCACACGCGGGCCGGGCATCGAGCCAGTTTTGGACTTCTCCTATTTTTATATTTTAGTGAGATATTAAGTGTTTTTTACTGCGGAGATGGCTTCATCTTTGCAGCTGACTCTGCCATTAGAGCGAAAGTCACCATTTAATACGGTTTACATAATGATGCGGTTTTGTTTCTAATTGAATTTTCATTTAAAGTAGACATTTCAAGCTTCCTATAGGTATGTTTCTCATGTGTAATGAAAGTGGTGAGGCCTCTACGCTGAGTTTCGGTTAATTTTTTTTCCTGTGACACTTCAGTTTACTGAGACGGCAGAAAACGCATCCCGTTTTCTTTATTTTACAAAAGCACAACGCTTCGTTGTCGTGTACACCAAATTAGACCCTTTACAGTTTTCGGAATGGATTTTATTCTAGGTAAGTCGAGTGTTGATTTGAGAAGGCTAAATTGATCAAATGTGGTAAACTCGCTGTTGGCTGCTTGGTTGTCACTTTAAAAAAAAAAAATAAAGCTTGAATTTAAGTTTTCTAAACTCTTAAAGAAACAAAATTAAATATAATCACGTTGATATTAAAAACAAAACTTAATTATTTTAATGGCTGCAACCGTAGTATAGGCTGTGTAATGGGGAGGAGGAAGAAAGAAAAAATAA